ATATAGATATTATATATTTATATAATATAAGTTATATAATTAATATAATATATTATTTATATATATTAATATTAGGGACGTCAAACTGGCTCATCGTTCTCGAATAGCTTGTGTTCGGCTTTTTCAAACACGAACAGTGACTTCACAAACAATTTCGAACACGAGCTTATTTCAAACAAATTAAATTTCAAACGAACCGAACATGAACACAAGCTTTGTTCGTTCGTGTTCGGTTCGTTTACACCCCTAACGACATGTTCGCTGCTCAGCCACGCGGCGATCAATCTGGTGCTGTTGAGGAAGAACGCGATGTTGTTGTATTCTTAATTCTCAAAGGAAGAACATGATGAATCTCCTTCTATACATGGCTCCTATTACAGTTGTATTCTTACTTTCTGCGTTGTATCCTCCTATGCCGACACCAACGATGCCGCCACCCGCCTCATCATCATCTTGCCTGAGATATCACTGACGTCGATCGAACAATGTCGGTAAAATCTATCGCTGACCCTTCCTCATGTAGTATTTTTTTTTGTTCTCTGCAAATGCGTCAGGGGAAGCTTTGTTTCTAGCCGACTATTTCTCCTGCAGTATTTTTTTCTTCCTTGCCAAAGCATCAGGGGAAGCTGTGTTTCTAGACAGTCATTTCTCCTGCACTATTTTTTTTCTTCCCTGCCAAAATGTCATGGGGGAGGTGCGTTTCCAATCGGTCAGGGGGAGCCGCATTTCCAGTCGGTCAGGGGAAGCTACGTTTCCAGTCCGTCATTTCTTCTGCAGTATTTTTTTCTTCTCTGCACAAGCGTCAGGGGGAGCCGCGTTTCCAGCTGGCCATTTCTCCTGCATTATTTTTTTCTTCCCTAGCCCAAGCGTCAGGGGGAGCTTTGTTTCCAGCCGCCTTTTCTTCTGCTGCTTTCTCTGTCAACAGAATTTATTGAGTGTGATTTACATGTTTGTTTTCTGCAGCCAATGACAACCACGGTCAAGACTAAAAATCAGTTTTCCTGTAGGTTGTTTCTTTCCCTGCAAAACTCAAAATTCAGCCAAGCATGAATCTCTCTTCTACGCCGAAATATATGACAGACAAAACTCAAAATTCAGCCAAGTCTGAATTCAACAAATTCAACCAAGCTTAAATCTCTCTTATACGCCGAAACATATCACAGATAAAACTCAAAATTTAATCTAAGCCTGAATCTAAAAGTCTGAAACTAATAAATTCAATAATCCAAACGACCAATTTTTCTTCACTACTCAGCAAGTTATGAATTATTAACATTCTAAACTTGAGGGGGAGTTAATAATTATAATAGAAAATAATTTATTTTTATAAGAAATTATGATGAATAAGTTATTTCCCTAATATAAGAAGATACTTCATTTTTCCTTTTCTATTTTATATTTATTTCCTTGGATTATGAATTATTTATTTTTTTATTTTATGTTATTTCATATACCTCCTAATAATTAATATGAATTAATTATTGGAGATATCAGTTGATATATTTTTACTTTCATATCATTTCATTTTCTTTATTCTTCCTATTATAAGATTTTTGTAAGGGTTATTTATACTCCCGTTCATATCAATAAAATAATCAAGTATTCCAATTTATTCCGCATTATTCTAAATTTCAACAACTAAACACAAACTTTTGCCGAATAATGTTATTTTAGTAATTACTTATAAGATTTTGAATTGCTAATAACTCATAATATCAATTGGTAAGTGTAGCATAAATGCTTTTTTATGTAAGGAACTCAGTGAATCAAATGAAATTATAATTAGAGGATAATTACACAAGTTATGGCAATTATCTGGTTAATCCATAAGCTAACATAATTAACCTATTCTGCAAAAAATAAGTGTTTTATAAGGAAAATTGGATTTGTAATTTTTGCTAAAATATTGATAACCTATTTCATAAAGCTTAAGATTAACAAATTATTTTGAAGTAATTTAGTAAGAGCAAAAAGTTTTGCATGCGTAATTACACTTGGGTAAAACCAATGCGTATTTTCAAATTTCTAGAATGTCACAAATCCTAGCGACTCTAATAAATCTTTCTCTAGCATGGCATCATTCTTGTGCCATTGGCTCACTGGATTATGCATCCTGATTTGATTAATTTATTCTTCACAATTCTAAGCACTTGATTTAAATAGGGAATTTACATACATCACACACAATACTCATATATTTACGTATCTAACACCTAAACTTTCATGTTTACATGCATAACACTCAATTTTTTGACATCACATCAGAAATATCTCTATCGCTAACTTATTAAAAGTGGAATACACTTTTTCATGCTTAAGTTTTAACACCAAAGTTTTACAAATGTAAATATCAAACTTTGGCTGTTAGATATATAAATACATAAGAACTGTGTGGTATATATATGTATATTTTACCTATATAATATTAGGACTTTCAAACACATATTTGTTATCATTGAAATTAGTTTATATGAACTATTCGGTTCATTAATCACTTGTGCATGTTGAGAAGACATTTGTTTTCTGTTTTACGCAGATACCGAAGAAAGGAAAAATTTATTCAGTGAATGAAGGAAATGCCAAAAATTGGGATGTTCCAACTTCAAAGTATGTGTAGTTTGACGAGGTGGAGATTGTTTTATCAGCTGTTTCATGATTTCACCTCATAGTTCTCACCATATTATTACTTCGTAGGTATGTTGAGAATTGCAAGTTTCCTAAGGACGGCTCATCTCCCAAATCACTTCGTTATGTTGGAAGGTTTCTGTATTACTTTGTTCTTTAAATCACCACATCTTCTTGAAATTTGTATTTGCATTCAATTCCTAATGAATTGCACTTGTGAATAACCTGTCGGTATTACATGAAAGTCCTTCAGTAAGGTAAAATTTGCTTTACAAACTTGGACTGTTTTTGCTTTGTCACTCTTTATACTTTTCATGTATTTCTGAAATCCCGTGTGAGGTTGAAGAGGTACAAGTTGTGATGTATGACAGAGAAAACGTTAGAAGCTTTTTGAAAGTGAAAAGAAAAATTGCATTTGTTGTAAGGATCTCACTTTCTCACTGTTTATGTATTGCTGAATTTAGTAGAATACTTATTTTTTGGCATTTAAATATAAAGCACACAATTCTTAAATGTATTTACATATCTCACATCTAAACCTTCATATGTACATACAGAGAACTCAAATCTTCAATATCACATAAAAAATAGTACTATTATCACTTTTTTAAAAAGTCAAATACACATTTCCATGCATAGGTTTAAAGCACCAAAGTGTATGTATGTCAATATGAAAATTTAGGTGTGAGATATGTAAATACATAAGAATTGTGTGCTACATGTAAATTTTCCTTTTTTTTTTTCTTTTTCATCCATTTATCCCGTAATAATTTAGAAGGTTATTGATTTGATGTGTGAAAATATGTAAATTCAAGTCATTTACATTGTTGGTAACACCAACAAGTGATAACCATTGTTGACTGTTAAAATTAAGTAAGAAAAAGAAATTAAAATAAATAAATCCTATAACTACTCCTACCCCACTTAGTGGGATAAAGCCTTATTGCTGTTTTTGTTGTTGTAACTACTCCCAACCTAGGATGCTGAGACGGATACTGCTCATTTCTTTCATGCCAATAGCCAGATCAAAAAATAAATGAAGATCAAAGTTTAAATCACAGTTTATTGACATTTAAAAATTACAAAACAAAACTAATTATACACAAAACCATATCTCATTGTAGGGTGGAAGATAAAAAAAAACTACTCAGAAAACTGCAAAGCAGAGAGGACTCAAACTCGGAAAACTGCAAGGCAGAGAGGACTCAAACTCGGAAAACTGCAAGCCCAGAGAGGACTCCTTAGAAAAACTACAATCCCATCATTTCATCTCTTTCTCTGTTCGAACTCATACAAAATCCATCGCACGAAAGTCTAGTAACTCTTCTTCGTCTCTAGCCCAAGCCCACTCGAGCCTCCCTTCTACTTTGTGGTTGCAATCTTTGTGATACAGTCACGACTAAGGCTAGCGAGGAAAGCAATGATGGGATTACGAAGTGCGAAGACCTCTAAAACTCCCATCTTCCTTGTCTTGTTGTCCCCAACACGTTTACAGTGTCACAAACTATCCAACCGCTCACTGTGTCACACATCTCCCTCTCTCTCACATACGATGACACCCACCTTTACTCGTCTCCTCCATCTTCCTCTCTATTCGCATGATATTAGCACTCATGATACTGCAGTCATAGCTAGGGCTGGCTGTGAAGGCAATGACGGAATCACACCATACGAAAACTTTCAAAAAATTTATCTTTCTCTTCTTTCACTTCTGCCCAAGAACAAAGCCCTTCTCTACTTTGATGCTTGCCCGCTTCTTGTACAATCGTGATTAGGGCTAGTTGTCAAGGCAAGAAATCACTACAGCCAGATACCTTCAAAACAACCCTTTGCTCTCCCCAGACATATGAGGCTGTTCATCTCTGCCTTTCCTGTTCGAATCAAAACCCTTGAGATACAGTTTCTAGGGACTTTTTATTGCATCAGGTCAATGGACGCAAATTTGCATCCAGTGTCCAATTAAAATCACAAAAAAAAGAGTGGTCCCACTTAAAAAAAAGTGTATCACAGTGATTCTAATTAGACACCGGACACAAATTTGCGTCCTATGTCCTGATGCAATAATCGCTCGTTGTCGGAAAGGCAACAACAAGAATGTAGCATACAAAGACCTCCAAACATCCTTTCGTTGTTCAACCACTTTGAAGTCGCATATGATCCTTCTCTGTTCTAACAAAACTGCTACTCCACTTCAACTCCTATTCACATAACTGAAGGATTCGTCTCTCTTATTGGCATGAACACCACTTTCTCTGCTGTGATAAGCCTATAAACTAAATATTATATATTATATAAAATGTAATATTTATTATTTATTATATAGTATATATTATATTAAAGAAAATAAGAAAAGACAGAAATGAGTTGAGATAGATGAAGGGAAGAAGAATTATATATCTGGCAATTCATCAGCTCGTTGATCTGGTTTCACCACCATTGTTGCTGTCTCACAAGCATGGTTATAAATTCATGGAAGTTATGCTCACATCACTTTTCATACGAGTTAATTAAAGAACTACAATTTCTTTAAAAGCGATAGATTAAAAGTCTCCTCTACTGCTGCAGTGTCTCCCCAACGTGTCTTATAGATAATTGAGCAGGCCAGACACTCTGATGCAGCCTCCAAAGCGGGGACGATACTGGGAGTTTGTCAAAATTTTTGTTGATCTTGGACTTATTTTGTGCTATTTGGATTATTTGGACATTACTCTAAAAGACAAAATGTGAGAAGAGATAAAATATTAATTGTGAATTAAAAGATAAATTCTCACCATCGAATCTACCTTGATTATGTAAGCGGATAGAAGGCGGTAAAAGCTAAAAAATGAAAATTTTGCATCCATACTCAAATCAAGTTATTTATGCAAATAATTAAAATTTTAAAAGCTTTTTGGATTTATAAATACATAAGTTCAAATGAGTTTTTCCAAATCAAATATTATCACCGAATTCACAATATATGTCCAAGCAAGCATAAAATATTTTAAAAGCTTAAAGTGAACTTCTGCATGCATTAATGTATTCAGTCTTGAATGAGATAAATTGTATAAATTCAAGTCTTATACATATCTTTTAAAGCAATTCTTGCTTTAATTTGTGTTTTAAAATTGTATAAATTTTCTTATAACATGCAAATTTATTCAAAAAATTCAAATAAGAAATTAAAAATTCACACGCGTTCCACCAAATTAACTAAATGCCTTAAATTAAATTGTATGAGATTGATGCAGAGAGTAAGGTTAAATATTCACTCAAATAATTCCTATTTTGAGAAGTGTGCCAAGTTCTTTCGAAAAATCAATGATTAATTTAAAATTAAAACCATCATATTTTAAAGATCAAAATAAAAAATAATTAAATTATGCACGCTTTCAAATTGTCTGCCTTATCTATAGAACAATGTTGTAAGTCCCACTCAACTAATATGATTCTTATTCTCTTAAGGATTGTAGTTGACAAGTTAGTAAATTCCACAATGTCCAAATCACAAATATAAGAATTAGTAAGTCTAAATTACCTAATATGATCCTCTTTCTTATAAGGACTGGAGTCGACAAAACTTATATTCCAAAGATCTTATACTAACAAATTTCAAATAACTATTTCAAACATCCAAATCCTTGAAGATGACGCGTTGATAAAAATCTCAGCCAGAGAAATCAACTTTTAAGTGACTTTTCAAATCAATTTTTCAAAATTATAAATCAAAACATTGAAATTGAAAATCAATCGTGTAAAACTGAAAGCAATATATATTCACCCTCCGTAATAGTTTTTTTAGGGTAATAAATTTTTTATTGTCTCAGCTTACAAAGAGTTAATGTCACATTAAATGTATCGATATATTCACACTCAAAGCAATGTCATGAAAATGAGGACGTGGCCTGAGTTATTTGTCTGTGTAATTTGGTGTAATGACTCCAGAAATAATAACGGTTACGACTATAGCCCTCTGACCGGCTAGTTGCGATCAAATTGTTATATTATGGTCATGACCATAACTAGTATATTTCCTAACAACTTTCCACCTTTTGAGTTGTCAACTAGAAGAGTACAATTTATTTGCATAAAATCTTATGTTAGTTAAAATCGACTTAAATTTATCCCCTTAGACAAACATGCACCTCATATCTACAAGAGTATTTTGGACAATGTAACCATGATTGCTGACAAGAGTCCTTTAGTTGGCTGGATTTACTACCTCCCTAACTATTTAGATCATAGGATGATAGAACTATGAGATCTTGATTAGGTTTGTCATCATTTCCCACACCATTCACTTTAAGCTCAAGGTGATAAACTGATCAATCTAAAATTTTTTTGCTATTACTTTATGTTGAATATTCGGTGTTTAATAGCTAGCTTTAATCGAAAGTGTTCTCCTGTTATCGAGAGGGGTAATTAACCATAGAGGCTTGTACATATGGGAAACCTCGAACCCCATATCAAA